TCTWYCWTYSAYTRACGAAAAACTCATAATTTATTCTAGATTGTGTACGATTTACGACTAATTCAAGGCATGAGCCTTCCTGGGGGCTCAACCAAGGGATACTCATTGAAATTTCTAAAGGTATTGAATAAAGTTATGAAATGGCAATGTACAGCAGCGACGTCAAAGCATGATGGGGGATTGTCCTCATACCATTAAAAGTTCCATAAAATAATCGCTATAAAATCTGTGTTTTCTTACACAAATGGCAAAATCACTGGCACCTTTCCAACGAAACTGATGAAGGCGAAAACAGATTTTGTGGACTGTCTGAATGGACTTGCTCGAGGAAATGCCGTTGCTGGACTATTTCTAATAGTTAGTGTGATGTTGTTGCTTTACTGACTAAATAAAGATGATGATGATGATGATGATGATGATGATGATGATGAAGCTGCACATTGCTCATTCACTAATGCCGAAGTCTGATGTGGAAGTACTGAACACATTATAAGAACATGATAAGAAGAATAAACACACAGTGAGGTCTTAAGCCTCCTCTACTGACATCTACTCTTTATACACTTAGGCAATGGCTGCTTACAGAAGAGAGGGCTGTCTTGGTCACCCTGTGTGTTATGCATTGATGAGTCTAAAATGGTAAACTTGTTCGCAGTCCCCACCCCCTCCCCCCATACTTATGACCGCACGTCGATTACATGGACGCACCTTTTATATAGTATCGTATTTTTTCTGTCTGTTTGTTGTTACCCCCACTTTTTTCGCTGTTTAAGGCACAATTTTGTTTTTATTTATAATTTGCCCCCCCCCCCTTCCTTCTGTCCCAGCCTCCTTCACGTTTTTCATTGTGTCCCGTCTTTTCTTGTTTTYCATAGGCGTAAATTTGGCTGGATGACATTCGTAACAAACATCGTCGTATACACCGCCTTCCTGCTGTCTATGACTATGTTGGTTTTTCAAATGAAGAACATTTGTCCTCCTCTAAATTCTACAACAGATAAATCTACAACAGATGATGTAAGATATAATTATGGAGCAAAGAAATTATCTTGGGTCTCGCTCAAATGTCTTTTATATTTTTTAGTGGAATTTGTTGGGTTGCAACTGCATGGCCAAAAATCGATCTTCAGAGAAAACAAAACATAGCACACTATATGTGCCGCCATGTTGGATGAATGAGCAAGAGTAATGACGAATGTTGTGTCATTTTAATCAAACATGGCGGCTATCCTGTAACTTACATACAGAGAATTTAGATACAATTAATCCTTTTCAATCCGACAATATTTTTTTACAATAAGGTGCATCCAGGTAGAACCTTTTGTTACAGTTTTTATTATTTTACTTTATTTTCCTAGAGCGAGGAGTTATTGAAGTGCAAGCATGAGAACAAGGTACAATCTCATCGCACTAGCTTACTGGAAATACAATAGAACACAATCAAACTTGAAGCATGCAAAGGCGCTTCATACTGGTACCAACCTGGAGACCCAAATTTGTTAATTGAATTGAACTTTACGAATCGTTTGCTATAGTGTTCCTTTCTTTGGATATTTTACACGTAGTGGATGACGTTTAAACGTTGTCTTTACTTGTATATTATAATTCATAACTGGTTTATTTTGCGTCTAA